TAATTTGTTAAAACTAGATGGAATCCCGTGCGATGCACGATTTTTTCATCTAAGATTTTTAATTATTTGATTTATTGTATTTAATAATTTCATACAAAATTACAAAAGTTTAATATTTATTTTTTTTACTATAATATAATGAATTTATTAAATATAAATAAATTGTAAATATGATATTTTTTCATCTAATTCGTTTTTACTGAATTCATAATATTTAAATATAAATAAGATGCATTGGAAGAGTTGGAGGGCTATGTGTCGGCCAAAAGATATGGGCGGGTTAGGGTTTCGTGATCTCAAAATTTTTAATTTGGCATTACTTGCTAAGCAAGGGTGGAGGTTGATGCAAGGGGGAGAGTCGCTTCTTCATAGCGTTTTGAAGGCTAGATATTTCAAGCACTCGTCCTTCCTAGAGGCTCGTAGAGGGTATGACCCAAGCTACACGTGGAGGAGTATTTGGGGTGCTAAGGCACTTTTACCGGAGGGGCTGCAGTGGAGAGTTGGAAATGGGAGGGATGTTCGTGTCTGGAGGGATAGGTGGCTTGCGGATGATGGTGGTAGTACAATTTTAGTGCCAACTCCAAATGGGTTGTGTGATGAACATCTTGTGGTGGCTGACCTGATAGATGAAACCCATGGCTGCTGGAATAAGGAAGAGATGAAGTTGCATTTTCATGAGGCGGATATTGCAAGAATTATGTCCATTCCATTGCTGAATACATCAAGCCCAAATACGCAGATTTGGAGGTTCACCAGAACGGGCTATTCTCTGTGAGGACAGCCTACTGGCTAGGGATGCTTGGGCCTAATTCACGCCATACAACAGCAAATGGGGAAGTTTGGAACCATATCTGACGTCTGAATGGCCCTCCCAAGTTGAGGCACTTTTTATGGCGTGCTTATACAAATACTCTTGATGTAAAATGTGAGCTTCAGCGCAGACACATTAGTGGAGATGCCAAATGCCAGCGCTGCCCGGATGCTTTGGAGACAATCAACCATGCGCTGTTTTACTGTAATTCCATCAGAGATATATGGGAAAATAGCACCTTCTGGCCGGAAATTTCTTCTGTGACACATGACAGGTTTGAGATCATGTTCTCCCATATGCATGCGAAGCTGTCCAGCTTTGAGTTTTGTATATTTGCAGCCATTGTGTGGGCTGCTTGGACAAGCCGCAACAGGACGTTGTTTGAGAGTACAGCTCACTGTCCACGACAATTAGCAGTTGGTTTTGTAAACTATGTCTCTGATTTTTAGCTCTACTCTAAGAAAGTCTCTTGTAATGCTTCGTATGGTATGGGAGCTGCGGTTACGTCATGGAGGAAGCCTAGGCAGGGTGTGTTGAAGATCAACGTTGATGCGGCAATTCTAAACAATGGGCAGGTTGGTCTTGGGGCTGTGGCGAGGAATAGTGCAGGCAGCATTGTCTTTACAGGGACTAGAAGGCATGAGAGTAGGTGGGATCCGGGTATTGCTGAAGCTGCTGCAATGTGTTTTGGGTTGGAATTAGCTATGCGATTTGGATACCGTGATATCTGGCTTGAATGTGATGCCTCGGAGGTAGTTCAAATGGTGAATAACAAGCAGGAGGGCCTTTCTTATATTTATTTGTTAGCTTCACGCATTTCTAGTTTAAGTTGTTCTTTTTCTTCCTTTCTTTGTAGCCACGTTAAGAGGTGTGGTAATACTCTTGCTAACTTGATAGCTAGGGCTGAGATTACCTCCTCCTCAGAGCATGTACGTTTTGATCCTTTCTCGGAGAGCTATTTAAGGCTTGCGGAATTGGACCTTCTATAATGTTATTGTGTGAATGTGTTCAAAATATATATATATATATATATATTATTAAATTGAAAATATGAATTTATTAAATATAAATAAATTGTAAATATGAGAAAGGAAATATTGATACTCATAATATTTTTTATTTAAATAAAATATATTTAAATAATATGTAAAATAATTAGATGAAAGCTTGTGTGATGCACGGATTTTCATACATATATCTCAAGAAAAATATTTCTTATATACTATAAGTTTTTTTTATTAATATATATATATATATAATTATTGGACTTATTTTATAATTTAATAATTTCAGACAAAAAAATAAAAACAAATAATAATTTAATTAAAATAATATTGTCAATTACAAAAGTATAATTTTTTAATGTAATTTATATGCGACTTCATTTATTGTTGTTTTGTATTTTATTCGTTGTTCTTAGTTATATGAAAATAATATGATATCTTTCAAAAAAAAAATTGTAAATATGATATTTCATTGATTACATATTAGGATAAAACTTTAATGTGAAAAGATGATAATTTTTTATTTTTAAAATAATTTAAATCCTAAATCATTATTCGTTGCTTTTTACACTTGAAAACTCTCAAATCTATATATCATTATGTATATTTCTTGTGATCTCTGACAAATTATCTATCTTTTAAAATTTTTAGACATAAATTTTTTACAAAAGGTAAAGTTTTTTATTGGGTTAAAAGTTTAAATTTTTTTTTATGAAAAAAACATCTTATAAATCGGGTATTTGGATAAAACCAACAATTTTATAAGATAAATTTTATTTTTTTTAATAATTTAAATCCTAATATCCCACGGTTTTTTATACATAAAATCTCATAAACATAATTTTTGTAATAAGATTATACTCATAATATTTTTTACATTAAAAATAAAGTTATTAAATGTAATATTTTGATGTAAAAAAATTTGTATTAAAAAAAAAATTCGATAGGATCACCAACTTAGTTCACACCGATATCTCTTCCATCTAATAAAAGTGAATAAATAGAATATGTTAGCAAAAATAAAATTTATATAAAATTAATCTTTATAGTCTTATAAAATAAATTAAAATATTTACCAGAAAGTGAATAATTGTTGTGAAATTAATCTAAAAATTGTAATTATACAAAATTAAATTTATGCATTGGAATTTTTTCATCTAAATGTCACAAATTTTAATTTAATTATAATTAAGGAATAATTTTTATTTCTTATCATAAACACTATCAAAATTTATCTTATAATAGTACGTATATAAATCCTATATCTAAAGATGATTATTTTAAAAGATAATTTTTAGTTTTTTAAATAAATTTAATCCAAATAAATCAATATTCGTTGTTTTTACTTACGTGATTAATCAATTTATTACATGGTTATGACACACACAAAATGTGCATAATTACACCTCTACATTGAAATCCTTCTTTGATTCATCTCATTCTATGAAAGAGTATTAAATTGACTTACTTGTTTCAATCTATAATTATGAGTGAGAAGTCAATAATAATCATGTTTCATAAATGTATCATCTCATAATTAAATTATCATTTATTATCATGCTTGTAAACATGTCATTAAATAGAATTTATCAAACAATCCAAGAATCATAATCTTCTTATAATGATGACACTTTAATTTTCAAAGTATATAAAATACCTATTAAGATACTATGCGAATATTAAAAAAATCCATACATGTATACATACCAAATAAAATTATCAACCACTTAAAAATCATCTAACTCGATTCTCCTATATCGTAAAAATAATTATTGTCAAAATAAAATTACATAATTAATATATTTTAAACCTAAAACAAGAAAAACCTTCTCATGTAAGAAATAAAAACTTGTAAGAAAACTTCTGAAACAACTACTATCATCAGTAACACATACACATCTAAATCCCTTCCAATTCAAAGTGGAATCGTTTGACTCTTGATTTTGGAAGCATCCAATATAATAGATCGAAAAGCGAAGACAAGTCGAATTCAGGGTAAATTGGAGGATGAAATGGAGTCGTTTGACTCTTGAAATTGTCGTTTTTAATCTCTTTAGTTTTAAGAAAAATGTATTCCTTTAATGGAAGTGGTGTTACTTATGTTTGTTGGGAGATGTGGCAAAATTTCAATTTCAGATTTACATAAACGCGTAGTAGGTGTTGTTAAACTCATTTGTATGTGATATCGGTAAAAGTCATTACAATATCATGACCATGTATGAGAATATATACTCCCTCTGTCTCACAATATAGTTTTTGTTTTCCTATTTTAGAAACCCAAAATGTTGTTCCTGTTTCTATTTTTGAATAGTATGTAAAGACCATTATACCCTTAATTTTTACTTTATTCATTGAACTTCCTAATTTACCCTTAACTTATCCACTTGCATTGTACTTTTTTCACTTTCTCTCTCTAACTTTTGTCTATAATTGAACTTTTTACCTTTTTCCCCTTATATTATCCACTTGCCTTGTACTTTTGTCCAGTTCTTTTCCACTTCTCCTCCCATTTCTTAAATACCGTGAAAAGAACAAAATAGGAACTATATTATGGGACAGAGGGAGTATAAGATATGGTTTTGTCAGATCACAAAGAAATGTGATTGACATGTATGAAACATATATCTCAAGAGGATTTTATACATTTGTATTATTGGGATCCCTTAATGTAAGACATACTGATTTTGGGTTGTTTCCGTCATTTCACCAACATTCATAGACTTTTAATTGTATGTTAGAAAATATCTTGCACAACACGAAACATCATCACTAACTTCCCTCGTTCTATCAATAGTCTCATCGCATGTTTAAATGTATATTGGTAAGCCTTATATGCGTTGTCCTTACTCGTTGTAATAGCTAAATAGTAAATGTCGTTAATGACCTAATTGATATTGCGTAAGGGCTTCTTATGTCAATAATAACTTATGTTACTTACTATCCTTTTGTTTGTTGTAAACTCAGTTTAATTAATGTAATTTTAGCTGTTTTTTTTCAAAAAAAACTCTTAAAAACTTTCAAAGAATTAATACAAGCTTTGACATATGGAAATATCAAAAAATATTTTAAACATATTTACATAAAACCTTTATAAAGTCCATCTGTCTCATAATTAGACGATCATATAAAAACCCGCAGCATTTATTTATCAGACGGGTCTAACTCATATTATAACTATGGCGGGTCATGGCTTTTAAAGGCCTCCACTCCTATGTCCTAAGTCTCTGAGTTATTTCATTGCAGCGCACTCAAGTTCTCCATTGAAGCGCACTCAACGTTCTCCATCGAAGCGTTCTACGTTGAATCTAATTCTTGTATCCCCCATTGAAGCAGCTTCTAAAGTAAGTTGTTTGTTGTTGTTATCATCACATCAATTTCACAATCTAGGGTTTATATTTGATCTAATCTAATTTAATTATCAGTGGTTTAAGTTTAGGGTTCGCAAATTCTTAGATTATGAAACATCATATCCAAAAGAAAAGAAAATTATGAGCGTAATTTGATTATTGAATCAAGTATCCCTAAAATTATGTATTTTTCGAGATAATTCAATATGAAATCAAATCTCTCTTCCCCGGGCCTAGGGCGGCCGCCCCTCCTGCCCTGCCTCAGGGACGGGCCTGGTGGGGATTTATGACAGAGCTTCGTGCATATGGGTAGCAATAATCAAAGTGGTTTATTTTAGTGTCAGCAAAAGTCAAAATTCCCTTTAATTTAATACCCTATCAAATATCAAATATCAATTTCATTTTACACTATCATTAATTTAATTGTCAGTAAAGTGAATTTAGGGTTCTTCTAAGGTGGATTATTCAACTATTGGTTTTAATGGCTCAACATATGAAAGATTATAATGAGCAATTTTGTTGATTGAAGTTTGCTATTTGCAATTTATGTTTATATTCTTAAGCAAGAAGAATTTCATGTGATTTTTCGAGCTTAATTTGATGATTGAGTTAAATTTAGATGCTTATGTGTTGCAGTCTTTTTAATGTCTGGACGAAACTATGAGAATGAACCCTTTCTCCTTGGGACCAGGGGGGATGGGCCTGCTCAGGAGATTTTTAGGAAAGCCTTGTTAAATCCCGAGCTGCCCGAAAAATTTGCCCTTCAAACTGTTCAGGAAGCCATTAAACCCCAGGTGATTTTTCTCCATAATATTTAATTGCAAATCATGTTGATAGTGGTATCATTTCTGTTATATTTGCACTTTTAATCATTGGTTTTGATAGAAATACTTTTTGATCGTGTATTTTTCTGTGTATTAGTAATTATTACTTGTGTATTTTGTTGAAGGAATTCATATTTTCTCCATTGTGTATTGATTATTAACTTCCTTTCTATATTATTTGATGAAAAGATGTTCAATATATTGGAAACCGGGAATATAACGATGGTAAATTGTTATTGCTTTGTGTTCTATGTGCTTGGCAATAATTTTTTTTTTTTTAATCCATTAAGCTAATTTAGGGTTTGTTTAGCGTTTTTTTTTGGTTTTCAGTTTTCTATTTTTTTTAAGACCAAAAACCAAAGGAAACAAGAAAAAAGTGTTTCCACTTTTTTGTTGTTAGTTTTCTAAATTATCAGGATTTTAAGAAGTTTGACTAATTTTTTATTCATTTACGACATATATCATATGATTTTGAAAATCAAAAAACCAAAAAACTGAAAACCACAACAATGCCAAACGAACCCTTAAATTTTCATTTCACGTTGTTTGTTCTTGAAAGTATTTTGTGAATGAATAGGTTTCGGTATGTTGTATATATAAAATATATACTCCAAGTCACGCTGATCGAATTAATAGTCACTTATGCTACTTTAGGATGTTTGGAGAAGTTAATACATTTCCTAGTATGTGGTTTATAATACATTTCATTATGCCACCACACATATGAAGTGATGGGGAGAGGATGGGAATTTGGAAATTACCCAACTATTTAGTATAAAGAATGTCTTTGTAAAGTCTATTCATACACTTATTTTGAGGTATTGGGACAATGTTTTTACTTTTTAGATAAAAAGAATATTTGAAAATTGTTGAGGAGAGCATCTTATAAGGATACGGGAGCGATATATTATTTACCTCCTTTTTGTAGTTGCTCCTTTTTCATTTTACACTATTCATACATACTACTTTGACTATGTTTTGTGATTTAAAAGTAAGAAGAAATATTGTCATAGGTTTATTATATTCATCTCAACTTGTACTTTCATAATATCAATTTATTAATTTTTTTTAATACTTATAGATATTTTAAGATATGATGGTTGAAGTTATGCATTGCAAAGCGTGAAAATGTAATGGCTGCAACCAAAAAGAGATTAAAAACTGAGGAGGTGTATACCAACTAGTTGCTAATACAAACATTTGGAATGGGGAACTAGTTGACAATATAATCTGTTGGATTGGGGATATAATTTGTCTTTGTTAAATAATTATTGCATCAACCAATTTGCTCTGGTTCTTGTTTGCCAATGTTTAGGCTCGACTCAATTCAGTGTTATGATGCTGTCTTTCTGATCTATCAGTGTTTGTTAAATAGCATTGCCTAGTAAATTTCATGTGCCATTGGTTTCTTTACGTTATGTCTGAAGTTTGGCTGATTTCAGTTGAATTTGTGTTTTTTCAGAGGCAAACAAAGTTAGTTCTGGATGAAAATCAGCTGCTAGAAAACATTCTACGGACATTACTCCAAGAGTTGGTGGTATGGATGCATACTAATTTTCATTTAAACCATGTTAGCTCCTTTTTGTGGCTCTTAAGACTGCATATTCGACACTTTATCCTCAATTTTTAATAAATTCTACATTAGTGTTTTATCAAATAGTTGCAAAGCTAACTAGCAAACGACTAGGCCATAAATCATAGATGAAGTAATTGTTCGTTTTGATGCATTATGTCTCTGAAACTATTAGTTAAGTGTTAACATAGTTTATGGAATGATCCTTTATTCTCTCCCAGATACTTTCTGTGAACTGTTGGTATTCTGGTATTCTATATTCCATGGGTGGATAGTGTATTTTTGTTCCAAAAGGAATACATAACTGTCTTTGATGAAGTTTATTAACGCTGTATGTCATTTGATTTATTTTGTGAATATTACTTACATTGCATGTTTTTTTTATTTTTATTTTTTTCCCTTCATTTTTTTAAAAAATTTATCCTTTCAAAAAAAAAAAAAAAAAAAAAGGTGTTACAGAAGTTTGACTTGTATCTGGTGTCCTGATGCAGGCTTGTGCAGTACAGTCAGGAGAGCCAACCATGCACTATGGCCGTTCCATTGCTGACGGAGATCTTGCACAGGGTCAAATTCCTCGCCTTCTTGGTATGACCACTTTTTCTAGAGATTATGGTTTCAGATACTTGCATTCTTTTGTTGAAGTACTGTTCATGTCTGGAATTTGCCTAAGTATTCTACACTCAAGTTTGTAAATTTGTTAATTGTTGATGGGCATCTGCTTTTTGACTTTGTTATCCCAGACATGTTTGCAACATTAATGTATTGTGCTGCATTTTAGTCAACTCTTAGTTTAAGAAATGTGGTACCCATTTGGTGACATTTTAGGGTGGTGCAAATGCAACCCAAATTGACTTTATGTTGGCTAGGAGAATGGATAAGGGTCGTTGTATTGATTGTAAAATAGGTGTAAAAAGTAATTGACTTCAAGGTGATCAGCGGATTAGAAGGTGGGCTATTAAAGGGGCCAATGTTAAGGCTATGGTGATATCAAATAAAATTTTTAAGATGTTAATTGGCATAGGAGGAGGATTGGAACTCAAATTGGATAGAAATGACGGCTTGCATTTGTAGAGTTTCATAGGAGGTTCTTTGGCAATCAAGTGGGAAATCACTGATGCACAAGGACACGATTTGGTGGAATGATGTTGTGAAACTAGTGTTTAAGAAGGAAATGGAATACTACTTTGCCTTAAGAAAATGCTGAGACGAAGAAACTTTTGGTAAATGTGAGGAAGCTAAAGTTAAGGCTAGAGAAGTTGTTCGAGAGGCTTGAGCTAAGGTGTATAAAGATGTTTATGAAAGTTCAGGTTCGAGGATGGTGAGAAAAGGATTTCTAATAGAGTTAAGAGAAGGCAAGTGCTGGTCAAGGACCTTTGTATGGTGAATTGTGTAAAGGACAAAAGCTTAGGAATTATTGTTCAAGCTGGCGAGACTAAGGATAGATGGGTGTAACACTTTGATTGAGTTTTTAATGAAAGCCCTAGTGGGTGCTATAGGAGACAACTCAACTCTATTGAGAATCAAAGATGACTTGGATTGAGGAAGTAAAAAAGGACATGGTAAAAGTGAGCTTACTAGGTTGCATTAGATAGAAGTGAATGGAGGAGAATCTTCTTTTTGGGCGATCACATGAAGTAGACTCTCGGTTCATGTAATTAACATCATCTCTCAGGAAAAAGGCTATGGTTTTGTTGTTGTAGTTAAATGTCAATGTATCCTGGAACTTTTGAAATTTGTTGAATAATTTTCGCCTTTGTAAAAAAATATAAGTCCCTTTGCATGTGAAGAAACAATTATTAATTTTTGATGCTCTTAAATCTCTCCATGCCATATAGTTTTAAGGCTTTAGGAAAGTGTTGCCTGTGAATTTAATGAAGATAGAGTGGACTATCAACACTTTTATCCTTATAGGAGGAATACGAATAAATTTAAGCACTATTTACTGCTTTTATAGGAAGGGATCATATAATTTGAGTTAACTGCAGAAAGAAATGGGGATTTAACTTATGAGATAAAGAAGGAACATTGAATTTTTTACTTAATGATTAGTTTTCTCCTTCATGCCCGGTTTCTCATAAGTCAATATTTGTGTGTTCTTTCACAACAGATATTGTATTGTATCTCTGTGAGAAGGAACATGTGGAGGGTGGCATGATATTTCAGCTGTTGGAAGATTTGACTGAAATGTCAACCATGAAGAATTGCAAAGATATTTTTACTTACATAGAGAGCAAGCAAGACTTACTTGGAAAGGTATTTCTTACGGTGCACATTTGTAATTTATGTTATGGGCTTTTTCTTATCATTAAATTCATAGTACTGCTTGCATCACTGCTTTATTTTGTTTTTGATGAATGTCATGGTTTAATGAGCAGCAAGAACTGTTTGCTCGTGGCAAACTTGTGATGCTGAGGACATGTAATCAACTGCTTCGTCGTTTGTCAAAGGTTCTAATATCTGACTTATGCTGTATTACATTGTTCTCAAATTTGTCACAATTCATATGCTTTTTATATGGTCATTGCTTTTGCAGTATGAGATTGTTAAGGGGAAAAAGGGCTCTAGTTGTTTTCTGTTATGTATGATTGTTGATTTATCTGCGACCTTAACTTCTGAAGATATGCAAACTGACTAAATATTCGTTCTTCTTGATGCTTCTGTTGCTCTTTGCCAGCATTGATTTGTTATTCTCCGTACCTCTGTTGCTCTTTGCCAGTATTGATTTGTTCTTGTTCCACTATAGCATACTTGCCCCTGCAATTATTGCTGAACCATACAAGAACATCTTTCTGAACAAAACTGTGAGTTGGATGTTCATTTAGGATAAACCTTGCCCCAAATTCAGCAGGTTGCCACTTCCCAGGCATATGATACAGGGATCTGGATAGCATAATTTGTCCCAAAGATCCAGGTTCCTGAGTTGTCTGGTTTCCAGTAGCCTGATTTTACTTTCTGTATTTTGTATTGCAAGGATTCAAATGACATTACTTAAGTTTATAAGACTAACTGGCAGGCATTATAGTGCAAATTTGACGGTAAAAAGGCAGTGACATGGTGACTTGGTGGTCTGTTAGCCATTTAATAACATACTCCTTCCGTCCCAGTTTATAGTTCCTGTTTGTGTTTTTTCACGGTATTTAAGAAATAGGAGGAGAAAGTGGATGAATACATTAAAAATAGTGAAAATTACAATTATAGACAAAAGTTAGAGAAAGTGGAAAAAAGTACAAGGCAAGTACAAAATTCAAGGGTAATTTAGGAAGTACAATGAATAAAGTGAAAAAAGTGAGGGTATAATGGTTTTACATACTATCCAAAAATAGAAATAGGAACAACATTTTGGGTCTCCAAAATAGGAAAACAGGAACTATAATGTGGGGCGAAAGAGTGGTACTCTTGCTGCAGTCAAGCAAAGTATAATAATTTGCTTGATGCATAGAATAAAAGCTCGCCCGTTACATCGTGATGCGGCCGAGATGTAACGGATTTGAAGGCTACCGTTACAAGATTTACCGTTTTGTAACGGAGTTTTGAAAAACCCCGCATTTTCGACCGATACGGCCGATACCTGAAATGCCCAAAAGGCGTGAGATGGTTGGAGTTTTGTGGCAGACTCCATTGTTGCTGGCGTGTAGCAAGCCGTAGCAACCGCATCATAGAGAAATAGAGAGAGAAAGAAGAAGAAAGTAAAAAGGTTAGGGGTTGAGGAGATAAGAACGAGGTAAGTATGTGGTAAGTGGGACAGCTGTAATTAGTTAAAAGAAGGTTGGGACGGCTGTATGATGCTCCACTTTGGTTTTATTTTATATTTGACTTTTTGACCACTCAACCTCTCTTTTTTACTTTTAATTTTTTGATATGAAAGAAAATTGTTATGGACTATAGTAGTACTGTAATTACTACGTTACTTTTCAATCTCTTTATTTTATGATAAATTCAATCTAAATCTATTGGATAAGAAAATATCTATTTAAAAATTTAAATAAATTATATAAAAATATTTCTTTAAATTTCTACCGCGATGACCGCAACCAGTCCGCGATCAACGCATCGTTTCCGTTACCGCATCTTCGCGACCGTTCGATCGCGACCGAAACCGCATTTTTATTCTATGGCTTGATGTGAAGGAGACTATCTTAGTTTTAAAAAACGCGTCTCAGGGTGAGCACAATGAGGCACCAGTCTTATCACTTTACACAATGATGCAGTGAGAACAGTGAGTTGCAGTTGAAGAGCATGAGACACAACTACGATGTCCACCCTCGTATTCTTTTATCTTGTTATATGTCTAATCCTTCTCTTCTATTTATTCGATTCTTCTTTAAAACCACTCCCCTGTAATAACAAAATATAATAAAGCGATTCTTGCAATAAAAAAATTGAGGCCAAAATGATCTATATGGTTTATTGCACAAAATGTGCCTTATTTGTGTGCTATGCTCTCCTAGCCAAACTAGTTGCACCACATATTCCTTGTGCATTTAAATAACTGAGTCATGGTTTGTTTTGTGTGCTAGATTTAGAAAAGGCTTATGATTATGCTTCTTGGGACTTTTTAGATGTCAATTTTAAAATTGGTACTTTTGTTTGAATATATATTTTTGCAAATGGAGGGAGTGGGCTCATTTGTGTGTTTCTACAACTTGTTTTTAGTGTTAGACTATGGCAGCCAGCTAGTTTATTTTCAAGCTCTTGTGGATTGTGCCAAGGTGACCATTTTCTCCATTTTGTTTCAAATTGTGAGTTGTGACGACATCTTAGAGTAGCTTGGGGGAAAAATTAATTGAGGTTGGACTTTATGGTGTATTCTTTGAAAACTATGCTTCTTAACCTTTCAACTTCCACATCTCATCTTTGGTGATGATACATAAAGTGGGTTTTCATAAGGGTTTGCTGATACTAGACTTCCTAGTTGGCAAGGTTCCACATTGAAGTTTTTTAGCTGATGTCTTTGGTTGTGGGGCGGAGAATTCCTATCTGGGTATTCCTCTTATTATTCTTTGAGCTTTGAATTGCATTTCTTCTTAGGACCCTATTATTTAGAATTTCAAAAAAGACTTACAGCGTGGAAATTAAGGGGTTGTTTGGTTCACATGGGGTAAACGGAATTAAATGAACTATGAGAAAGGAAAAGAATGGAATGAAAATACCTTACATTTTCTATGTTGTTTGTTTGAAAAACAAAGGGAAATAATCCCACCAGACCCACCACCACACCACCACCACACAACCACCTAATTCATTCTCTTTTCACCTTTTCCATCCACCACCCATCCACCATACCACTCGCCGCACCTCCCTCATCATTGGCCACCCTTCGTTGGCCCTCCCCTGCCCCGCGCAGCTCTCCCCTCCCCCGAAAAATCTCCCTCTAGAAACTAGTCTCCTTCCCCGTAAAACCCGTTGGCTGACCCTCCCCCACCCTCGAAACCCTAGCGCCTAGGGTTTTGAGAGTGGGGGAGGGCCGGCCGACCGTTTTACATGGAGGGAGAAGGTTTTTTTTTTTTGGGTTTTTGCGGGGATGGGGAAAGGGTTTCGGGAGTATGGATGGCCGGCATGGGGAGGGGAGGTCGGCGAGGGGTGGGGGAGAGGCGGCGAGGGTTGATGTGGCTGGCCGTGGTGCGGGTTTCTAGTAATTTGAGTAGGTAGGTGGTGTGATGTAGAGGTGGCTTAAGGAATGGGAATGGAAATACCTAGGGGGGTGGGGAATCAACTTAGAAGGATTCGGGGAAATGAAGAGGGTAAAGGGAATGGGAAAAAAGGCCTAACAAACAAAAACAAAGGGAATGAGGGCAGTTGATTCCCATTCCATTTGATGAATACCCCCAACCAAATGGCCCCTAAAGCTTTTGTTTGGAAGAGTTAGATTAACATTGATGAGAACATGAGAAGTACCCTTTCTAACATGCCTATACACTTAATTTTCATGTTCACTACCACGGACATTGTGGGACTTGTGGCTTCTTAGGTGTGAAAAAATGATTTGTTTTTCCTATGGGCTTAAATTATTCAGATAGGAGCATTCATTGGATAAAATGAGAATATGTGATCTAGTGTATGACGAATGAAGCCTTTAAGTGTGTTAAGTGAATTGGCTTTGGAGATTTGAGAATGAAGATAATGCATTGTTGAAGAACATCATCAAGTTCAAAAACATTGGTGGAGCAAGGAGATGTCTTCTTCTCATGGAGTTCACATATGGATAAGAATTTTTGGAGGGTTGCATGTTTTTGATTCCTTGGTCAATTACAAGAGAAAGAGTGCTGCAAGGGGTCTTTTTTGGCATGGCATTTGGCGGGATTAACCTGAAAAATTCAATTTCCAGCAGTATCTGATTTGCTTTGTGCCTGTGTTTGAGGATACTATATCAAAAGGTTTTGTGCAACATGGTGATGAGTAGCATGGGAATGTTTCTTTTTGGAGACTTTTAAATGATTGGATTGAAAATGTGTTTGTTTTTTTCTTAAAAATCTTTCTGCCGAGGAGATCAAGTTGGAGGAGAATAACAAAATGGTTTGGCAGCAATGCAGCATGACAAGAGGCTCTTTTTCTGTGTTTGTAATTACCTTTATAGGATTTGGATGCTGGTGTTCCCTGCCAATGATATTTGGAAGATTAAAGATACTCCTTAAGCTTGAATTATTTTTCGTAGGCATTATTAAATGGAGGATTTTTCTCATTGAAAGCTATTATTGTTTCACTTAATGACAAAGAGTGTTAATTACCGTTTATATTTTCGGGTTGCTTTTAATTGGCGCTTATTATTATCCTTGTTTGGGATGGGCTGGTTGCAGCCTTCTTCTGTGAAAGATGTTTGTGTAGGTTGGAAAAGAGGATGAAAAAAGGTTGGTTTGATGAAGAGTGGAAGATGGTTTTGTTGGCAATCTAGTGCCGAAAGCCAGAAAACCACTAAACTATTGAGGGGTAGAGGTTCCTTATATCAAGGATTTAAGCTTGCTTGCTCTCTCTTCTTTCTTATTTTTTATTTTTATTTTAAAGCTTTTTTACATCCTTCAAAAAAGAATAAATGGTTTTTTGTATAGCATTCTTATCAACTTCTGAATGATGCTTGACTTTTTTTGATTTTGTATATCAAATTCTTCATGATAGCTGGGGCATGAGTTTATCTGATCCTAGCCCTTATTCTTCATGTGATTTTCTTTACTGTTGTTTTTGTACCCCCCCCCCTCCCCCCCTTCCTTTTCTCTTACTTTTATTTAAATCTGAACAATTAATACTCTTTATTCCTACTTTGATTTTTCTTACTTACCTTAAACTCTGTGTTTTATTTTCAATTGCCGTTGAATCTGACTCTATAAAAACGTGTTCGCGGATCTTTAGCTTCATAATTATCAGAATTTGACGACCCATATCAAGTCCGACACCCGCACCCAAGTCCAAGCATCCTAGTCGTGAGTAATACCCCATGGTGTCTTCCACTTAAGAAGGAACTGGACATCTTTCACTTGCAACTGTCTTTAAAGATTGTTAAATGTCAAGCTACGTTTTCTCATGATATGTGTAGATACATAATAAGCTTTAATAATTTTGATATTAAGTTCACATAACCTCTGTAAGATACAAATTAAAGAGTTCCTGGAGGCTTCAGCACCTCATAAAATATACTTTAATTAGATTCTATAAAGTTGGACACTGCTGAGAAGTTTGCAATTACTTCTCTTGTGGATGTTTTTGGAGATTGGCTGGTGATTTTTCCCTTGTTTGCCGTGCAATGGATCTTTAAAACATGTTTATGTCTAAATGAATTAAGTTTGAACTAGCTATTTTTATCACGTATCAGAAGTGACTTCTTACAATTGATTGTGATGTTTAAACTATTGGAGTATGAATCATTGCAGGCAAATGATGTTGTATTTTGTGGACGGATTCTTATGTTTCTGGCACATTTTTTCCCGCTGTCTGAGCGCTCAGGTTTGTGCTTGTCTGTTATGTTGGTCTTGACACCATGGATTTATATAACGTTCTTTATTATGTATACAGCTGTGAATATTAAGGGAGTCTTCAATACATCCAATGAAACAAAGTATGAGAAAGAAGCTCCAAATGGTATTCCCATACTCAGTACTAAACCTTTATGTTTTAAGTACAGAAGCTAATGGATTTTCCCCCCCTTCATTTATCTTTAGGCATTTCTATTGATTTCAACTTCTACAAGACATTCTGGAGTTTGCAGGTGAATACTGAATAGTATATGATTTATAGCTTTCTTGAGAAATAATACATTTTTGTTGGCTGAGAAATTGTTTGCCCACCTTGTGAATAAAATTTTATTTGGTATAGGTCCTTTTTGAGTCATCTAGCTAAACTAATATCAGAAAAATTATATTAAAGATGCAGCTAAAAGTTGTGAGGCAGGTCTAACTCAGGGAGATGAGGACAAATTGTTAGCACTACCCTGGTGCATTAAACTAAATTGCCCGCTAACAAAAAAAAAAGTAAAGTTGCCCGAATTAACTATAATGGTGGCTAAAGTTACTATTAGTAACAAACCCGAAGTCTGAACCCCCTAAATTGCTGAAAAAAATGTACTAGAACTGAAAGTGAAGACTGGCATCATCATGGAATTTTAGTATGCCAATCAGATAATTTAATTGGAAAACATTGACTTGAAGTTGAATTATAAGATTGACATAATTGGAGATGTTTTTGTAGGAGTTAATTTTCAATTCAGGAGGTAGCATTGAGTATCTGCTTTTTTATAGGCCTCTTTGTCTTTCTTAGGATTTCTTCCTTATTTGAGCCATGAAAATATTAACATGATTTCAATTTTATATGTTTAGATTGGGAAGGTTTATTTACTGTTCCTGAAGTTTTCATTGTTAATCAATATTTATGTGTGCGAAGTCTGTTAATTTAAAAAATAACCTAACATCAATGCATTGGTTGGCAATGACTATGAAAAACTGGAGTAGAAGATTATAAAATTTGATGTCAGACTTGAACTATGACATTAACTATCTCGTCCATGGCCTTAATATTAGGACTTGATGCCTTGTTAGCATTTTACCTTCAATCCTTTTGCACACAGACATCTTGTCTTCTGTTTTGTGCTTTATTTTTCTGTCTCTAATATTGAGTATTATGCTAGGAACTGACATAGCTTACAGCACTAACAATGGCAGCAAATAAGAAGAAAAAGATGATTATATTGATGAGATGAGAATTACAATAAATCGAATGAGGATTTCACTTTCGAGAGGTGGATTCTCTCCTAATATGAGCTTCCAAGAGGCTCACTCTTTGCCAATGACATACCTCACAATATTCAACATGCTCTTTAATCCTAATGAGAGCTATTTATAGAAAATCCCTCCTAACAAACCTCTGGCTTATTCCCCAAGTTACTACTAATAGACTATGACTACATACCCTTCCCCTAAATATTGATTCCTTGCATATTATATAACGTATCTATGTCAAAGACTTGCAAGACACTCCATCATGTTGAAAACAGTTGTTTCCAAGTTATACAAACTACTATAGAGGGCAGATTGCTGAGTAGATACTGATTTGGGAACTTTGCAATGAATGCTGAGATATTGTATATCAGGATGGATTAAGCAAATATCTTTTTGAAAGAAAAATGTTAACAATGATATACACTTAATTAAATTTGGAGTAGTCTTGAGATATGACTTTTGACTCAAAAAGGATGAGATTTTATATTAATGTGAATATTTATCGGGGTGTACATTTGTCCAAATTTTGTTGGAATATCAGCCAAGCCATCTGTTTTTGGGTTTCAAATTTCAAACAACGGAATCTAATTTTCATTCATTAAGTTAACAAATTCAATCACCTTATACCTAACTAAACCTTTTGTCCAACCAACTTGTTCTCTTTGTAAACACATGCCACTTTTCGTTGTCAAAGAGCTGACATGGAATGTCCCAAAACACATCCTACTTCCCGTACTATTTTCACGGACTAGCTTCTTTACCTGCATGTGTTTGCCATGCGGGAACCCTTATATATTTTATGCCAGCCTCGGGCACTGTTCACCTGCATGCTGCTGCTTAAAATGATGCAATGTGATGGATTAGAAGTTAAGCCAGTTCAAGTGTAAGAGTGTTCACAATATAATTTCGAGTTTAAGAACTGTACAATTTACATTACTCTTGAGTAATTGATTTGATAAAATTTGTGTGTATATTTGTCTTTGTTTATAAGATTGGTTTTTTTTACCATGGTTTTCAGGAGTACTTCTGTAATCCTCCATCCTTGACCGTTAATCCTACAAAGTGGCACAGATTTACATCAAGCTTATCGGTAGCACATGCATATTCAAATTATTTTGTTTTGAAGTATATTATTTTTGTTTTTACAAAAATTCAATTAATGTTGGGGTGTCATTTGTGCATCTCTTTTGACTGTTCTTTATTAGGTTGTTCTAAATACCTTTGAGGCTCAACCCTTAAGTGATGAGGAGGGAAATGCTAATAATCTTGAAGAAGAGGGGGCAGCTGTCAATATTAAATATCTGACCAGTAGTAAACTGATGGGTTTGGAGGTAAATGTCTTCACCAAGTTTACAAATTTTATGGACCAGAGTTTAACATCTTTTGCTGTGATAAAATTATTTGAATGTTTCTTTGCTGCAGCTGAAAGATCCTAGTTTCCGGCGTCATGTTCTTGTACAATGTTTGATATTGTTTGACTATGTCAAGGTAGGTAGGTAGGTACTTACTCTGGCACTGCTTTGAAGGCCATTCAAACACGCGTTTGTGAGATTATACAAAGCTTTTATCCATTGGCATTTTTAATGAAGTATTAGCTGTGTAGATATCTCATGTAGTTTACATAATGTTTTGGAGCCTCTCCCCCCCCCCCCCCCCCTCCTCCTCCTCATTTTCTGTTCTTTGGAGAGGAGTTGGGGTGTTAGGAGGGAGAGGGGAAAGTTTGCAACTTTGCATTGTTTGTCCAATTTTAAAGGACTCGAGATAAGTCAGTGCTCATTTTGACTGATTGCTGATGATCTACTGGGTATGGACTCTGAAATATGAAATGTTCATGTTGCTGAAAAAGATTGGTCTATTGCTAGTTTCAGCATATATCTATTTCCCATCTGACCTTGTTAAAACATTATAAGCATTCATCTTTCTGCACTTCATCAGTCGCTGTATTGCTTTAGTTTTGTCAAACCTTCCTCTCTTTTCCAATTCTTTTTTGTGAAATAGGCATTTCATTTTTATTTGCATCTCTAATTTAAATACCCTCTTGTACTTGATACATATCTTAATGTGGGTCATCATTTAGTTGATTGACTATTTGTATTTGTAATTTTTTTTTTTTTTTTTCTTCTTCATCTTTTCAGTTTACTCTTCATGTGTTAAAATAAGCTTTAAATGTTGAGGGGCACTATTTGGATCTTCATGTTGATAGGATATATGGGCTTTTGATTGTAGGAAACAAACTCTAGGCCACTAGGTGCACTTTGAGGTTGGATTTTTGCACCTTTTCCCCATTCTCAAAGTGTCTAAGATCTAACTGGGTCGGATCACCCTTGATAGTTGGGCCCTGGTAGGCATGTTTCATATTTAAAGAATATATTACGTTTTATACCTTCTATATTAGGTAAGAACTATTGTATGTTTCAAAACATAGATGGTTTGTAGACACAGAGAGTACTGTGTGAAGCTTTGACTCAAAGTCCATATCTGCATCTACATTTTCGGTACCATTTTGATTTTCGTGCAATGTTAAGGTCATCTTGATAATCTTTCTTCTGGGTAAAAAAGCATGGTCAATATATGAAGATTGTAATTCATTTGTTGATTTCAGTGCATTGGTTTAGTACTTTCCCTTCTACTTACATTTTGCTTTCCTCGTACTTTTTTGCAGCCCTCTGGAAAGAGTGACAAAGATTTACCATCAGAGGCAATGGTTAGTATCTGTTGATACTTGATAGTTTTTGTAGTCTTTCCTTCTCTTCTATAGCTCTAATCATTGATACCTGCAAATGTTGTCATACGAGGATTGTAGATGGGAAATGAAATCATACTTCCTTCTTTGTTCTTTAGTGAAACACTTTGATTGCTACATTATTTACATACTATACTTAAGACAATTTAAAGAAAAACATAATCATGTGAGGTCTTATAAAAAAATATGTATAATTTTTACAAATTTTTCTTTTTTGAAGAAAAATGTATTATTTGCAAAGTATGTATTGGTAATTATGACAGTCATACTGTGGTAAATTAAATGAAACAGAGAAATTATTTCGAAAATTACTATGGCTGTTTAGGTTGCTTCAGTACATGAAATAGAATGGGAAGTGGAATTAGGGTCTGTCGAACGAGGAACAGACTTACTCTCCAGATTTACTATTTTCCATTTCATTATAAGAATATTTACCCCTCCAAAAATGAGGAGAAATATTGAAGCTGTTTGGGGTTAGCTTAATAAAATGAATTATATCAGGTAAAACAATAAAAATGATTTAGGATGACTGGTCTATGATAGCAGAAAATCTTCTGGATGCTTAAGTACCACACAGAGGGTGTTTATACATAAGCTTAATTGAAAAGTTACCATGCTGCTGAACATTACTCATCTTTTGCTAAATTTATTTAGATTTTTATATTTATTAATTTTTGCTGGTTAGCCTCACCGTAAAAAATTTACTTGCTCTTTTTATTTTATTTTATTTTTATTAATTATTAACTATTATTTATTTATTTTTAATTTATTTAATTAATTTATTTTATAAGTAGTTGCTCCGTTTTGGCTGTGCACATTTTCAATGCACAATTTTGACCCTTTATATTGTGAATCATCAACTAGTAAAAATTATAAAAAGTTGATATATGTATGTCATAAAGGGTTTTCACTTCCCAGTTTGATGTTATCTTTGCAATATATATGCTGTCATTTTATGTAAAATTAGCACTAGTGTTGCTTCTTAATTGATGTTAATGATTTCATAAATTTTGTGCTGATTGTAGAAAGAAGAAATAAAGACTTATGAGGAGCGTGTAAAGAATCTTCTCGAAGTGACACCTCCTAAAGGGAAAGAGTTTCTCTGTAGCATTGAGCATATTCTAGAACGTGAAAAAAATTGGGTGAGCATACCATGGCCCCTCTCGAAAATCTTGACTTAGCTTGTATTTCTTACTTATTTTAATGAATCGAGTGAGGCACTAGTAAGGAGGCTTGAATATTTGCAAAGTGATGGGATGGTGAGAGGCAAGGGAAGAATTAAGAAAATTGGAGGAGGGTGATTACATTAATAAGGAAAAATATGGTGTTGGATATGGCAAAGTGGAGGGAGAAAATATATGCCTAGGTTATAACTTTTAGTGTATAATAATTATATACTTTCTCTGTTCTAGTAATATTGCAACAACTGGAATTTTACACTATTCATCACGCTTGTTTGACCACACATTATGATTTATACGTTAAGTAAAATATAGTCATGTGGGGTCTTGTTAGATTCGTCTCGTAAAATGCTTTCACAATATCAACTTTTTATAATTTTTACTCTTATATAATTATAGATATTTAGCATATAAAATGTGCTTTGGGATGCGTAATTTCATCATTGTTGCTATATTCGTGGAACAGAAGAAGTATGATTTTAATAATTTATGTTTTATTTTATTTTATTTTTATTTTTATTTTTATTTTTATTTTTATTTTTATTTTTTTAAATTATCCTAGGTTATAACTTGTTATTTTATGCATCTCCATATACTACCTCCGTTGAATATTAGTTGCAACTTTGGAATGTTTTATATCTCACAAATAATAACCCAAAGTTGCAACTAATATTTAACGGAGGTAGTATTTCTTATCTCAAGGTTTTCTCAAACTTTTTTTTTTTTCATGATTTATTCTCTTTTATTTCCCCTAAGTCCTACTTTTGATTACTATAAAAAATTTTATATCCATTTTTTTTGGTTTTCATTTTATACTTCTAGTTCTCTTGCTCATTATGTTTTCTCTTGTTGTCTTCTACTTCCATTTTATTACTCGTCTTTCTTTGTTGCACATTTTGCGGATAGTTCCTTATGACAAGTCATCTTAGTCATGACCCCAATCATTTTGTGACTAAGACATGTTTAATGATTAAAAAGTCATTGAATCTCTTCTTGTTAAATGAGGAGGAGCTTTTTTTTTTTTTTTTTTTTTTTATTTTATTTATTTTACTTTGAGTTTGCAGCCTCACTGCCTCACAGCCATTTCTGTCTTCTGACTGCCCTTCCCACGTTCAGCCCCATTTGGAGGGGCAAATGTTCAGATGTCGAAATGTATGTCACCTATGTGATAATCTCTAAAAAAGGGTTTGTTCATATCTATTTTTCTTTCAGGTTTGGTGGAAGCGTGATGGTTGCCCGCCATTTGAAAAACAACCCATGGAGAAGAAGGTAGATGGTACAAAAAAACGGTAAGTAATTATTTTGAATGTGATAAATTTTAAATGTTCCATCCTAGAGCATGGATCATTGGCTAAATTTTTGTTATGATCAGCCAAATTGTGGTCAATCTTGATAGGTTTTCTGTATCTGTGAAGATATTATGTGCATTTGTTTTCTTGTGACAAGGGAGAAGGGGAAGCACTTGTTAATAAACTGCTCTGATTTAGGTTTTTTTGTTGCAGTCTATGGCTATAAATACATTGTTTACATTACTATTTCCTCTGTTTTATTTAAACGACCCATTAGATTTAGGCGCACATATCAAGTTAGGGTGGAAAAGAATGTCAAAAGACGATTTTACCCCAGCCCACTAGCTCTGCCAACTAACCCCACCCCCTTCCCCACTACCGACATTACTATCAAACCACCTAAACCGCTGGGTCTGCCACCAAAGCCACCTCAACACCATCCAGACCATTGAAAAAGAGCGCATTCCTTCACTGTCCAGGTCACCGCCATATCATGCTTTTGACTAAACTAATAACCCACTATCTCTTATAATCTTTATTTCCACAACAAATCTAATGTACACAATGTTTTATTACACAACTTATCTTCCCAAAACTTTTTGTTGGTCAAATTGATGCATTTAAATACAAACAGTAATTTTATTTGTTGAGAAAGTTACTCTATCTTTCAGCATAAGATATTCTAAGAAATTAGATCAAGTTACTGTGGGCTTTTCTGATGGGTTTATGCTTATTTTTTGAATCTAAGTGGTTAATTTTGGCTGTACTTGAAAATGTTTGAAATATGCTGTCCCTGCAGTCGACCAAGGTGGAGATTAGGGAACAAAGAACTTTCTCAGCTGTGGAAATGGGCTGATCAGAATCCGGTCTGTGTATTACCCATAAATCTATCATAATGTTGCGGAGTATTTTATATTGCTGGTTTATTCTTTTTGTCTGATTTTTGCTATACTTGAATCTGCATCTTCTTTACAGAATGCTCTCACTGATCCAGAGCGAGTTAAGACTCCCGCTGTCACAGATTACTGGAAACCAATGGCTGATGATGTAAGCTCTCTCTCTCTCTCTCTCTCTCTCTCTCTCTCTCTCTCTATGTATCTATCTATCTATCTATCTATATAGAAAGGTATTATGAATATTACTTCTGTAGCATAAGTGATGAATATTGATCTGTGACAACAGATGGATCCGTCTGCTGGTATAGAAGCTGAGTACCATCACAAAAACAATAAGGTAGCTTACACTTCCTGTATGATGATCATAGTTGAGATTAAAATACTTCATGTTTTAGTTTTGTTGACTGAGAGATGATGCACATAAGTTATAATTTACAGAATTATGGGTTATTAACTCTGAAATTGATATTATTAGACTAATGAGAGTGCCTTTAGTTTCAGCATTGTCGATTGACTTGTCTCTTTAGATTGTATATGTAATCCATGTATCTAATTGCCAATCTTTGTTTCAGAGTTCCGACAAACCTGCCTGCTATTTACTGTACAAATAAAACTATAGTTGACTTCAATCACTTCATATTACTGACTTATGAAAATGCCAGCTTCTAATCAGTGTATTTTAGTCAAGCATTTGCCAGCAAATCCCTGAATATGCTCAAATGGTCACACTCATATGATTTGCAAATTGCCCTTTTTGACCTGATGACCAACTTAGGATATACTCACTCCGTTTCTTTTCAGTTGACACATTTTAACTTTGGGCATTATTCACATAAGTTACTTTGACTTCTTTTTGTGATTTATTCTTGAGAAAAAACATAGTCATGTGGGGTGTTACTCCCTCCGTGTTTTAATAAGTGTTACACTTTGATCGGCACATAGTTTTAGGCAATTTAATTGACTTAAATAAAATAAGAGGTAAATGGAGTAGTTGGAATATTAATAAATTGTAAAAGAAAGATAATGGGTTTAATAGTTTATTACAAAGTAATGAATGTGAGAGCAAAGAAATAATAATAAAAAAAAAATAGTAGTGGGTTTGAGTGGGGACCATGAAAGGATAAATATATAATATTAAAATGTAGCTTTTTGTCAAAAAAAAAAAGGAAGTGTAACACTTATTAAAACACGGAGGCAGTATTAGATTCATCTAAAAAACATCTATTTTCCAAACTTTTGTTTGTTGTAAATGAAAGATATTAATATATGAAATTATGCGTTGGAAAATGTGCTTAAATGAAATGTGTCAACTACAATGACATGGAGGAAGTATTGCACAATGTGCCCATCCTGATCCCAGAAAATACAAGATAGTACATGAAGCGATGTCCATTTTCTTAGTGATGCATGAGCCTCATTTTTATAATAGATGAGAATATCTTAATATTAATTTGGTGGTAATGATTAGGTAATTATTCAGCTACCTGGCTGGTTATACCTCGAATATGGTGCATGTTGGCTGATATTAAGTTATTATAAAAAAAAATTATATCAAATTGAGATTGCATTTGGAGGTTATTATTTTAATTTTTTTGTATAGTGGTTGAACACTGAGATAAGGCAACTTTGCAAGTAATATCATATACAAATCATTTGAAAGTGAGATAATTTGGAGATGAAAGTAGACATCAAGACTTTTCATGTGAGTGGTCATACATGATACATGCAACATGGATTAAAATAAGAAGAAAAACAAACTCTAATTTTGGGTACCTAAAGTTAGCCAAATTCCAATTCAGTGATTTCTGTTTCTCATAGCCAAAAATAATGTTTCATTACACGCACACACCTACAGGCACGCACGTGCGCATGCGCACATGCACACACATCCTCCGTTCTTTATTAGTTGACATGTTTCATTTCTGGTGCTCATATTAAGGAAGGAAGAATGAAAGATATATGCAAAATAGCCTTCACCTCGCCCCCTCACACTACCCCACTTGGCTGTATCTTTCGTCCTGGAACCTGGACCAAAACAGACCTTCATTCATCTGATTATCCATTTCCTATTCTCTCCTCTTAAGTTCAAGTACACCGTTAAGTGCCACAAATTGATAGTAAAAATATATCAAAATTAGTAAAAAAAAAACTATAAATTAATTTCAAATTAGCATAGAATCTTATACAAAGTTCAACAAATTAAGAACAACACAAAAGTTTTAGAAAAAAGAAACAACAATTCAACAAATCAAGGTTTTTTGACTTATAAATTCCTTATTTCTCAAATTTAGAAATTGTTTAATGTAAAGAGAAAGAGAAACCCATTTACAGAGGAGAGAGAAAAGGACAATATAGAAAGAGAAACCCATTTACAAAGGAGAGAGAAAAGCTCAAGGCTCAATAATGGCGGGCACTTATTCAAGCAACTCCTTTGATTTTTTTCTCAAAATTTTCCATATTTTCTTAAACTGTTAATATGGAAATTATAACCTTTTTTTTTTTTTTTTTTTTTTGGTCAGTGATTTTTGGCTTCACTAAACTTCAAATGTTGGTTCATTTTATGAGTGGCGAAGGTGGAGATTTGAGAATTGAGATGGACATTTGGAAGAAATTGAGAAAATATATACTACCTCCGTTTCTTATTATCTGCAACAACCGTACCGATTGCGGAGGCCGAGGTAAAAGTTCCTAAGCATGATTATTGAAATACAAGGGCATGTACTTAACCACTAATCCAATTAAAAAAAAAAATTATCAAACCACTATAACCCAGCCACCACCACAAACCCAAACCCAGCCACCACCACCACCACGAACCCAGTCACCACCACCACCACCATGAACCCAGACCCACGCCACCCCTACAAAACAACCCGCACCATCCAGCCACCACCACGAACCAGACCCACGCTACCCCACGACACCAAACCCACACAGCCACCACCACCACCACGAACCCAGTCATCACCACCACCACGAATCCAGACCCACGCCACCCCACGAACCCAACCCACGCCACCCCTACAAAACAACCCGCGCCATCCAGCCACCACCACGAACCAGACCCACGCTACCCCACGACACCAAACCCACACAACCACCACCACGAACCAGACCCACGCTACCCCCACGAAACCATTACCTTCTCTATCATCAATTAAAGCTTTATTTGGTCAAATTTAACCATTAAAATTCTAGATCTAAAATTTTCATGGTTAAATTTGACCATAAAACCTTCAAATTTGAGCTTTAATGACAAGAATGAAACAAAAGGAGAAGGAAGAGAGAGAAAGCGGAGACGGCGACGACGACAAGCATGACACTTATAGGGCGACTTTCGGCGAAGGTGGTGGTTGAATTTGAGGGGAGATGAACAAAGAGAGGGGGAATTTATGGGTAGATGTAGATAGAGTGGAGATAGGTACGGTGGTAGTAGTGGTGGAGGTGGTGGACTGGTGGTGGTGTTTGCCATTGAAGGTGATGGTTGGAGGAGATGGTTGGAGGAGATGGTGAGAAATAAGTGAGAATGAAATTGGGGTTTTGGGGTTATTAATCATAGTTAGCTTGTAGGTTAGAATATAATCAGTTTTTTTAAGGGTAATATGGTAATTTTACAAGTAACTAAACTTACTAAAATTGGAAAAAAAAAACCTTGTTGCAAATAATATGAAACACCTATTTTTGGTAATTGTTGCAGATAATAAAAAACGGAGGAAGTATATATTTTTTTCCCCATAAATTTGTAGTCGAGAGTTGGGGATGAATTCATATAAAGTTCATATATTGTTGATGATGTTAGAGGATTTTGAAGATAGAAAAAGTGTTTGATATTATTCATTTTGAATTTGGATTTGGAAAATCAAAGATGACGGTGGATGATTTAGGTAGGTGGGTGGGTGTGTGTTTGTGAAAGAGGAGAGAGGGGATATGGAGGAGTTAGGGGGAGTTATGGAGGAGAGAGGAGAAAGAGTGTGGGTCTATTATGGGGAGGGGAGAGGAGGAAAATTGAGGGTAAATTTGACATTTAACAATATAATTTTGACTCAAAATAAAAGTGTATGAACTTAAAAAAAAAAACTTCCTAAAAAGGTATACGTGTCAACTAAAAAAAAAACGGAGGCAGTATATAAAAAGCTACACATCAATTTTGTGATGCATTATAACTCTGTTTGGTTACAAGTTCTTCCGGTATAACAATTTTGGAATATTCGATTAGAATAATCTCATCTTAGGAAACATCCTTGAACAATAACTTTCCAATATTGTCACATGGGTGAACTTATGATGGGTGAAATGAATATTCTGTTGATTCACCTTTATCACATACCCTAGAAAATTAAATAAAGCTTTCTTCATATGTTGTAGGTGGAGGGTAAGGCTCATAGGCATAGAGGTGTTCGCCGTGCGGTTTGGATCCTAAATCACACCAAACTGCAAAATTGCGGTTTGTATTTTTTTCAAACCGCACCAAACCGCACCGCAAAATTCGGTTTGGTGCGGTGCGGTTTAAGCATATTTTCTTAAAATTATAATTATGTTTTTTAAACAAAACTTTTATTTTATTTAGTAATTATTAATTTATAATTTAAATATTAAACTCTTTTTTTAACCTTTAATTAGCTAATAGTCAAAGATTAACTCATATACTTTAGTTCTTTTATATTTTTCTAATAAAAATATAGTATAAAAACTACAAACCGCATTAAATAATAAAGTGCGGTTTGGTCTAAATTTTTTTTGGAAACCGCACCAAACCGCAAAGCGCGGTTTGGTCATTTTAAAAAACCGCACCGCAATTTTCAAACCGCACCAAACTGCAAAATTGCGGTTTGGTTCGATCTAAACCGCACTCTGTACAACCCTAGATAGGCATGTGAAAGAAGAGGGGGGGGGGGTTAGAGTTTTTAACTTATTGAAGACAAACCGAACATGAACTCTGTCTATTGTTAGAGCACTTATGTAACAACATAAAACACTTGGGATAATTGTGAGGGTTTGTCTAACTTTAGATTATTTTCCTTTTGTGGACTAAACTTGGGATTATTATTGTGTTCCAACAATTTTGTGACCTCAAATACCCCAAAAAAAAAAAAACCTAAAAACTTTGGTTCACAAATCATGATCTATGATGTGAATCATATCTAGAAATCAATAATTCACCCTTGTGAATGGTTTACAACCTTGGCCATGATAGAACACATGATATATAATCATGATAATGCCATGGTTTCTTGATAGCTTTTAATCTAATCTTAGCCAATTATTACATAATCTGACAGTTATTAAAATAGTATTAGGGTTCTAGTTAATGTAGCTTCTTGATAGGGGCTTGCTTTAGTTGTAATTATCTTTTATGACTTGATATAAGTTGACTGTTATTCTTCATGTGGACCTTGGGCTTTGGGTAGAATCTTTTTGTTTTTCTTTACTTAAGTTTTATCATCAGGTTAATTTTCTTTTGACTTCATTAATCCTTGCTTTGTGCTATCTTCTTTATTTACCTCCATAAATCAAACAAAAAATAACCCTAAAATGTCATGTGGTGAATAAATTGGACCTATTATGTATCTTTTAGTTTGGCCATGGAGTAATTTTGTCACTTGTGGTTCATTAGTAAAGGTTTGGTTAGCATGGATCACTTCCCTAAAAGTATTGTAATAAAGTGTCGCAGTGTTACTTTATTAATTTGGCATACTGATTATTCATTTGTTTGTGCAGGTTTATTGTTGGAAAGGTCTCCGTTTTTCTGCGCGACAGGACTTGGAAGGCTTTTCTAGGGTATGAATTATAGCCTTTTATTTATTTATGTATTTAGAGATTAATACCATCTTTGTGAAAGAAAATGAACCCAATGTGTTTCATTTGTAGTTCACTGAATTTGGCATTGAAGGGGTTGTGCCCCTGGAACTTATGCCTCCTGAAGTAAGGTCCAAGTATCAGGCAAAGCCAAATGACAAGTCTAAACGTGTGAAGAAGGATGAAACTAAGGGTTCTGTACCTCCATCTGAAGAAAATCAGGTATTTTGACTTGCATTATTTTTAATATGCTTGGGGGTTAGTATGTACTTGTAGTACTTCATATGTTGGGTGAAATGGGGAATACATTTTTTGTGGAAATTATTTATGGCACAATTTGTGTCCCGATGTCGCATATTGATGTAAAGATATTATGGTTTGTTTTGTATGTATAATACTTAAAATTAGACTAATAACAACCGCCTGTGCGATCAGCTTTTACAACAATTGCCATGAGCATATGACATTTCCTGAATTCCTGTAATATTTATATCCAGATGTTTTCTGAGTTGTGACTTTCTGGTATTCCTTATCTACTTATTTAATCTTTTTTTAAATGTTCCAAAATTATTTAGGCTATAAACTCTGTAAGTGAGATGGATGGCGAAGGTGGCCATAATGATCTTGATGCCCCAGCAGCTGCAATGGACCTGGATTCAACACCTATTACTGGTCAAGCTGGCACCCCGACACCAGATGACTTTCAAAAGCAAAGTTCTGAATCCCCAGATGCACAAGAAGCTGGAGAACTTGACGCTGAAGGTGATCCTGAGCCGGGGTTAATTGATGGAGAGACAGATGCAGATGTTGAACTAGAGGCAGTAGGTTGATTTTGCATATGACTTTTTCAAATTGTTTAGACTTTAAAGGTAGTGGAATTGCTGAACTGGAACTGCAGTGACTTCTCAGCTCACATCCATAATTTGAGAAGCTAGAATGACTTATTATATCCATTATTCAGAGAGCTTTAGCAAGCTGAATGAAGCATGGAGTTTAATTCATTTATTTTCTTTTTCGGCTTTGCTTCCATTATGAGTTTAACATAACTAGTTTCTCTACACTCTGTATATTTTTGCTTTGAGATACCTTTGTAATACTAAACAAGGGGGTAAAGAAAGCTCATTTTTGTATATCTTGAAAATGTAACCCCAATCTTTTCGTTTTTGTCATGTCATTTATTTATTAGCTTTTTAGGGCTTAAAAAAAAAAGATGCACTGATGTTATTGTTCTCTAAATTTATATCTCTGTAGGTAATTCTTAGATCATGTTCGTAATTTCTTTACTTATCAATAGTGAAATTAATGGTCCTTTTGGACATGGATTATTCCATGCCGATTTTTGAACTCTAGTTCACGCTCTGCCAAAGCTTTTTACTTCGTATTTTTTATTCTCATCCGATGTGACGGACATACGCCCTTGCATTTATCATCTATTGATGAAATGCTATGTGACATCCTACTTTGAATACTGCGGTAGATAGTGCATTTAGTGGTCAAGAAGTACACACTTTTTCTAACCAGTCTTATCTTGTCTTTTACTTCCATGTTTTTTTATTTTTTATTTTTTTGGAGTCTTTTCCTTTGTTCTTTTACATTTAGGATTTTTTTTTTTTTAGTCATAAAATTTACCATTTGTCCTTTCCTTGTTTTGCAAATTAAATACTCAATTTGTTTATTTTTCTATGTGCAATTAGGGATGAGCAAAAATTCTGGGTACTTAGAATTGGAATCGGAATCGGTTAGATATTGGAGGGTCCGGAACAGGAATTAGACCCGATGGTTCCAATTCCGGGTAATAAACTAAGGAATCGGTTGCAACTGGTTTTAATTCCACATCTCAATTTTTTGGATTCGGATCGGTTGGGTATCCGGTTACCCATTAATATATTAAACTAAATATATTTTAAAAATAAAAATATGTAGAATGTATCTAGTTAGTAAAATTAAAAAAAAAAGATATACTATTAATATCTAACATAAATAAAATAGTTTTATACATATAATAAATATAAGTATTAAACGCTAAAAATGAAAATGGATCAAAATAAGTATTATAATTGTATTAAATTTTATTTACTACCAAAGTTAGTCCGTTCCATGTTTTTTAACTTTTTTTTTTTTAGTCTTTTCCTTTGTTTTTTTTACATTTAGGATTTTTCTTTTTTTTAGTCATAAAATTTACCATTTGTCCTTTCCTTGTTTTGCAAATTAAATATTCAAGTTATCGTTATTTTTCTATGTGCAGTTGTACCATTTGTAATATTTATATAGTTCTTTTTTAAGACTCATTATTACTCTCCTCTCTTTAGGAACCTTGTTTTACTTTTTTACTTTTTTCACGAGTAATTCTCTGCCTCTAATAATTTGAGTCAGGAATGACTCTAAAAACATGGCGTTGGTATTGAATTGTGTTTCGTTGGTATCATCTAAAAACCAACAAAGAGTTATATCGATACCAATATAATATATTGACCAAATTGGTAAATAAAAAAGATCCCTAGCGACAATTTGGTAAAAAAAATAACTCCGGCGACAATATGGTAAAAAAATTAACTCCAAGCGACAATTTTGGTAAAATTAAACAAATTAATAATCTCAGGCGATATTTAGACCAAAAATATCTAATTTTATTCCGACAAAGTCTTCAAATATCCTAATTTGATTCGTTATCGTATATTTTAAATTATTTTTCCCATTTAAAAATTTAAATTAATGTGTCATCTCCTTTCATTTTGCTAAATCCCGATATCAAATTTATTTCTAACCCCTTTTTAAAAAAAAAATCGATATTAAGGGGTAGGAAAATTAAGTGAAAATTAATATTTAAACAATAAATTTTTCTTGAAATTGTTGATTATGAAAAGGGGTAGGAAAATTAGGTAAGAAACCCTGAAAAACGAACTGACTTAAGCATTTACAAGTAGTTTGTCAGAAATTTTTGTATATTTTGCGTTAATTGTCGCCTGAGATTATTTTTTTACCAAATTGTCGTTTGGGGTTAGGTTTTTTTTACCAAACTGTCACCGAAGTTATATTTTTTTTACCAAATTGTCGCTTTTTTGGTTAACTGGCCATATTTTTGCATTCATTGGCACCACTGAATAAGTATTTTGGTATCATGATAATACCATCTAAACATTCTAAAGTACAACTTAATACCGACGTCGTATTATTGGAGTCATTCATGACTCAAATTAATATAGGCAGATAATTTCTCCTTTCTTCACCCCACATATATAATATTCTTTCTTCAAATGAAATTGTACTTTCAAGTATTTTACTAATTCCAACATATCTCTACTTTATACAATTACTTAATATAATGGCGCATAATTCTAAATTTTAAAAACAAAGGGAATTAGAGGGGTAGTAAATAATAGCCAAAAACTATATATAAGTGAATTTCCGGCAAGTTATCACATTTTCTAATACTTATAATAGTAGTAGGCTTAAATGAGATAATGACTAGAAATTCTCATTGAAAACACAACTCGGCCTTGATCTCAGCTAAAGCTCAATTAAAAGACCTTGAACACAATTACAATTATGCTAATTCATAAAAGTTCCTAGATTACTGTCTAAATTTTCATGATCAAATTCATATCTTCATTATAATAAAAGCTCGTTTTATTCATTTAAAAGGTCATTTGATATTCTATTATTAATCATTCAGTTTATGACTTTTCAACATTAAATATTCTAATTGTTTCTTATTTAAAGTATACGGCTTATCAAATACATTGAGAGATTAGAACCTTCACTTGATTTTGAGAAATTTTAATGCCAAAAGCACAATTCATGTTTATGAGAAAAGGTCATTTGTGATAAACAAGTTATCAACAAAATATGAACATGACCTCAATTAAAAAGAGTGGACAGCTTGCCTTTAATTTACATGAACATGGTAGTTTTCGGTCGGTTATTTTACCCCCATAACTTCTAACCATCAAAAGAGTTTTTGAATTAAGTTTCCTACATTCCATCATATCACATAATCAATTATTATAAAGAAAAAAAGCACAATCAAGACATTCTTCGATACTCACAACATATATGATATATATATCCAAACCAGCTTTAATTTATTCAAATGAAGCATATATTCAGAATATTACTGTAATTAAATCTTTGCTAGTATATTAACCATATATATTTCTAACATGATCAAATATGTAGTTAAAAAAATGAATAAGAACACAAATATTTCTACTATAAATTTATAATTTCCGGCATTGCCCTAATTAAGCAGTACCACAATAAGCTCTTGTTCATGATTTCCTCTGTACCACAACTGACAATCTATTAAGTATGAAGATCACAAAAAAAATTATTTGTAAGTTCAATACACAAAAATTAGAGACCAAATAATACATCAAATCAATCAATTGACTAGCATATTTTTGCTGGTTGATGTACACAACTATTTTGTACCAGGAAATCTGTAAATTCATCTCTTGACCTCTTTCTACTTCTTATTGCAACATTTTTATTTTCACCTCCTTCGCCAAAAACTGAGTTTAATAAAATAGTGTCGAGAATTTCCCTCACATCCCTCGTGCCAAACACCACCTCTTCTTCAACCTCAAAATCAACATCATAAAATTTATCATGTACCATCTTTAAAACACCAAAAACCCTAGCAAGTTCCGTGTCAATTTTCTCCTCTTGTTCCTTTATTGGAAAAAATTCGTAACGACTAATTTTAACAAGATTTTCAGTACAAAAATCTCCCCAAATATTTTCGGTATCATCCACAATTAAAACAACCCGTTCGTGTGACACCACCACGTCCAACCTCTTTTGTTTATACTTGGTACAATCTTGCTTAGCAATCGTCCATGAAAGCCTCGGAAACCCAGCTTTAGACTCAAGTAACCCACGCACTTCTTGTGCATAAACCTTATCAGCCATAGTGTAGATAGACAAATCAAACATCGAACTAACTTGTTTAATAAATTCACGTACACCCGGCCTTAACCTCACGTATCGACTAGTACTTAACATGTTGTACACAATCTTTTGTACACGTTAAACGTTGTTTCTCCTCTAAAGTAACGTTCTTGGTTAATCTTGAGTGAATTAACGTGTGATCCAAGTCAAGTACTAAGTGAAGCTTCTTGGATTGTAACAAGTGTCGTAAATTATCGTATCGAACACGGTCGACTTCTTCGGGGGTGAGGGCTAATTTGGGGTGAATGTAGCTTAATGGTGTAGTGGTGAGACCATTGCCGCAAGCAATGATGGGTAGGTTGCATAATGTGCATTTGTTGTCAAGAAATGATGGATGAAAGCATAGGAAACTATTGTTCAAATCAAAATCCATTGATTTATTTTCTATAATTCCATTTTTTTTTATCTTGTGAATAATTTCTCATGTTTTAATTTTTTTTATTTTTTATTTTTTTATTTTTTTTTTTTACGGGATTTCTCTTGTTTTTGAAAGGGTAGGGTTTTTGTTGAATTGAGTATTTCGTTTAGGTTACAAAAATTAGGGTTTGCCGTTTGTTGCCTTTTTATTGGCTCTTGGATTTTTTTTTTTTTTTTTTTTTTTGGTTTGGGCCCAAGCCTCTACGATTTCTATAGAAAAACCACCCTAAAAGAATTAATGAAATGATAGTAAAAGAAATACGGAGTAAATTTTATCTTCACCAAAAAAAAAAAAAAAAGAAATGAGAAATAAATAAATTAACAAATATCTCGTCAAAAAAATAAAATAAATTAACAAATAAAAGAGCACTTTCTTTAATTAATGCTACTAAAAGATCTAATTTTTAGATTACAATTGGTTTTATATTTATTTTCATTTTTATGTATATTTCCACTTTACCGTCCATGAGAGGTGAACAATGGTTTATTATTATTATTATTATTATTATATTATTATTATTATTATTATTATTATTATATTATTATTATTATTATTATTATTATCTCAAAAACAGACAAAGTCATACAACCTACAATAAATTAGTGGGAAGCCGAGATACAATTTGGGCCCCCACTCCTCTAGCTATAGCAAAACCTACCCTAGTGAAGATATAAGCTGCAGCACGAGCCCCAATGTCTTGCGTCGTCGAGAACTTCTGAACCCGCTTCAGCAACGCAACTGCCTCCTTCTCTAATTCCCCAAGTGAAGAAAAGGAGAAGGGAATGAAACCGTATCCAATCAGCCGACAACTAGCCTCATACTTCACCAGCTTCCGATTAGCCGCATCAGCTACAACCCGTCCAGGAACAAAGTCAGATAACCCTGTCTATGTCAAAGGAGAAGACCCTGTTAAGTCCACACAAACATCGCGACCACGATCTCAGGAATAAAGTAACACATCAGCAGCTCTGAGGGCCCCGTCATTCCCTCCAGACAACCCTATGTCAACCTCCTTTCTTGCTGAAATCCCAGATCTATAGCAGATATCAACAAGGGTATCCCGGACAATATTATGTCGATGTTTAATACCCAAAATACCAGCACACGATACCGCGTGATCACCAAAAATATCTCTAGTAAAAACCCGAGAACAAGCAGAGCACGACATCGAGATAGAGAACAATGGAACACCCATCCTATAGCACAACACACATCGGTAGGTCTTTGGGTTCATTGTCTGACCCAACCCAGAAATAAGGACTGCCCGAAGCCAAGCAGAGGTGTGATCTCCCTGCTGCGATTTCCATAATGCTGATTGCCGAGGAGACAAAGAATAGGCGGATTCTGCAGAAGCTTATTATTATTATTATTATTATTATTATTATTATTATTATTATTATTATTATTATTATTATTAATTTTTTTCATGTTTTATTTATTTATTTATTTATTTATTATTATTATTATTATTATTATTATTATTATTATTATTATTATTATTATTATTATTATTTTTAAAACTTATTTAGCTTTAAAACTGATTTAGCTTTTAAAAAAGGAAATCTTTGCTTCAAAGTGGTGATTTTTTTGTTAGGAAACACTACTTCAAGTAGTGATGCATGCTGTTAAAATTTATTGTTTTTGCTTTTAGTCCCTGTTATTTTTACCTTAAAACAAATAATATTAAGTACAAATAATATCGCTTTGTAAAAATAATTTCAGTTCCATAAAAATAATTTCATTTCAGTAGGGAATCAGTTAAAATAATTCCAGTTTGTTAAAATAATATATGTTCAGCAAAAATAATTTCAGTTCAATAAAAATAATTTTAGTTTAGCAAAAATAAGGTGAATCGAAGAGGGCCTAAGTGAGAGGGCAATGCATTTTTTTTTTAAAAAAAAAAATACATATTACTTGAAAATGTGGTTTTCCACCAAAATTTTTAAAAATAAAATTTTTCGTAAATATGAGCTACTTGTTTGAAGTCTTTTTCCTTTTTAAGAATTCTAGGTAAAAGAAACAAAGGATGGACTTCCACGCATGGGTGTTTGATCGATGGAATGCTTGGTGTCACTCTCAGTGGATATCTAGTTAGAAAATCTTTTCCAATCTTTTGCTTTCTTTGCTTTTTCCTCTATCCTTTGCCCTATTAGAATCAGTGTTGGTTGATTCCTTCCGGCTTTTTCGTTCGCTTGCTTGCTGGCAAGCTCTATACCGACCTTGGCTATTTGAGGCAATTTCGAAAGCATTTAGTCTCGCTAGCTGTGCTAGCTTGAAAGTTATGGCTAGCTTGTTTTTTGGTGAGGTATTGCCCTGCTGTCGCATTCTTCCTTTGCGCTAGTGGACAGTAAATTGGAAGCTTGTAAAAAAAGATTTAGTATTTAGGGAAAGAATTCCAAATAAATATGAAATACGTATCAGTAAATAAAAAGCTCTTTCAACATTTTAAAAATTTAATACATATAGATTTGTAAAATTCCTTTCTCTATTACTTTGATTGATTAAGGCCTTATTTTTCACATTGATCTGAAATTATTTTTACTAGATTGAACTTATTTAAACTGAAATTATATAGTCACTCCGTGTTTTAATAAGTGTTATACTTTGACTTTTTTCACTATTCACATAATGATTTTGACTTGATTAATTTACTAATATATAAAAACAAATGTTATTGTTTAATATATTGTTGGAATCGTTGTAATGTATACTTTCATATTATAAAATTTCCTATGATTTTACTAACATATAATTAGATAAATTAAGGGTCAAAGTCGTGTCTCGGCATGCGTGTTTGGTCAAACTGTAACACTTATTAAAACACGGAGGGAGTAACACCTTTTTTTTTTTTTTTTTTTTTTTTAACTCAAATAGTTTTTACTAAACTTTAATTATTTTTACTGACTAAAATTATCATTCGGATTTACTACTATATTTGTTTTTTAAAATTACTGATAAAAACTTATTTCTAACCTAAAATTATATGTAACAATCCACTCAACTAGAGCATTGTTCGGGCCAATAACTCACTACAATAAATTTTTAACATATTAATTTTGAGGCAGAATAGAGTAGTAAATGTATTCTAATTGTTTAAAGTGAACATGGAACTAGCAAAGGTTTATGTGCAGAGATCACATCCTATAATTGTTCGAGAACGTTGGTGAGGAATGACGAATCAATCTAAACCGTTGATATGTTTATTTAATAATCAAGCAGAAATCATCGTATTACTGTCAAAAATGCGACATCTGATAGGTCAGTTCTACTCTCTTTACTAGCCAAAGTCTGCAAAAACAACACTACACTTGGCTCTACAAAGTGAAAATTTCACAGCATCAGAAAATGATGATACAAACTTGCAAGCGGACTGATAAACCGCACAGCCTGCATTTCTGAAGACATTCAGTGCAGTATAATAACTCCATTAGCATTTTGCACTTCGAGATATAATTACTAATCTCATCTCCACGTTGAAGTGATGTATTTGGTGGTCTTTGATCCGTCATTGTCTTTTTTCAAGAATAATACACCAATTTGATTTATCAAAGAAGCGATCCACAATCACAGCATTGCTTATTCCAGACACTAAACTGCAAATTCATCAAATTGAAGAAATTGGTCAGTTACTGAGAAACCGTGAGAAAATTACACCTGGGAAGGAAACAGTTCGGAAAATATATCAATTAGGGAATCAGGGAGTCCGGTAAAAAAAATGATAATGGAGCAATCTATATAACTGACATGCAGAATCACAATTTTCATAATAACACCACCAGCATACAATGATCCACACCTGTGCTAAAAAAAAAACAGCTCCATAATGCTTAGGCAAGCTGGAATTTCAAATTCATAACCAACATCGTTATAAAGATTCAAAACAACGGAGAAATAGTCTCTGAAAGATGGACATACTACAAGGCAGACTTCTGCCTATCAAAAATTCAAAAAAACCAAAACATGCAATGCAACATGTAACCATAAACGAAATTCTGTTGTATATGGGTGGAATTGTGGAAACAAGGAGTCCATGGCAAACAAGCTCAAATGGAATCATAGCAAGAACTGGTAAAGCCAGTGAAGCACTTTTAATTTTTTAAATACTGAGAAGAGGATACTAAAAGGATACAGGATTTCAGCCAAGAAATTGTGCTTGCCAGATTTTCGGACAGAAACGGTTGAAATTAATTTCCATAGATGCAATATAGAACCACAAATGAAACCATATGGAATCAAAAGTTAAGCGGTAGAATAAAGTCTTACAACTTCAATAGAAATAATCCTTCCCCAAGACAACTTAAAAAGTTTTGTAATATCTGAATCCAGGTCAAGGTTTTAAGCACATCCACTGATCTCAAATATGACTCAGAACCCAAAATTTAATGCGCCCAGTGGCCCATATTCAACCAAGAGTCAGAACCCATAATTAATGTGCCCAAAAACTAAAACATACTAAGCAGTTGATACGATTAGCTTTGCTCATTTTTCTATGCTCAAATTATAGGTATTTTTGTAGGATAATTCTGCAATTGGGTGAGCACAGGTATAACTTAAGACATAATTTAACAAAGATAGGTGCAAGCAAATTTCAACTAAAGAGTTAAATTAAAACGACCAACTACGTCACTTAATTACTTACTCTGCCAATAACTTTGAGCCTAGCTGACCATTTAAAGGTAAAAAGAACGTATGTTCAACTTTGATTTTGTTGAAAATTATTATGAAATACAAAATCTGACAGTCCACTTGGTAGATAGTAAATGGTGGAAATGGTAATAAATTTATATACAATTTTGCAAGAACAGTCTCACATCAGTGTGTGGCAGTGTCTACAGTAAAGGTTGTCTACACCTCAAATCTCTTTTACTTCATACAATCATACCATCCAGCACCACTTTAACCACTTCAGAAGTGGTATTGAGTAGAAATGTAGATACATGAACTGGAGCTGGAGTCCCATTAGGCCATTATCATAAAGGAAATTCTAAAAATTTTACTTACAAACCACAAAACCAGCCTAAAAAACGTATACTCTTCAAAGTCTATAAATTATGTTGTTTACTTGTTTTTTAGGAAAAATATCTAGTCAGAGGACCTGTAAAGAAAACTTAGCACACCAAAATTTAGAGTCAATCTTTTATACCTTTTAAAGTCTGCAAATTCATGCTGTTTACTTGTTTTCAGGAAAAATATTTAGTTAGAGGACCTTTAAAGAAAACTTAGCAAACAAAAATATAGAGTTGGCCCCCTGCCCCCACCCCCCCCCCCCTATATGAGGAAGAAAAGTAGTTCTAAAAAAGACATAAGGCTGCTTCTTCTCTAGAAGGAAACAAAATTTTTCATAGCTGAGAAATAATCCATTGGGTGTTCAGGCGAATGAAACTAAAAGTGCAAAATGATCATAGATTCATATTGTGCTTGCAATATAAGTGGTCTTATTTTTCTACATGCTTGTAGTGGATGGAGATCCATATGACTAAACCTAAAGAACCACATAATAGCCTCACATATATACAACTCATGGTAGCTCCGTAATATACTTGGAAACTCTCAGATCAGTTCTCAACCTGTTCTTTGCTCTTGCCATACCTCTCCAATTACTGAAAGTGATAGCTCTCGAGTTGCCTTGCCAAATATTCAAACAGGCTCATCAAAACTTTATTATGATAGAATCTAGTAACAACCCCTCTAAGTCATCTACAGTTCATTACGATCTTTTAATTGCAAAACCACACTCATTTTAAAATTGGCAAATATCTGTGTTTACCAAAATCTAAGATAGAATCTATTAGAAACTACAATTCCATTATTTTTTTAAAAAAATTTTGTAAGGATTGTTGATAACTACATATGAAATCACTGGTTTGTATCATACTTACTCCCTCTGTTTTTAAATACTTGCTCCATTTCTCCATGCGCGTAGTTTTTGGAGAATGGGAAAGAGTAATAAAATATGGAGGTAGTGGGGTAGGGGGAAGAATAAAATGTGAAAAGCAAAAGTAGTTGAGAGAATTGGAGGAGAGGGAATATGAAATTAATAAAATATGATTTATGTTGGGTCCACTAGGTGAGAAATGAATTAAATTTTGTAAAAGCTTTCCAAATAAGGAAATGGAGCAAGTATTTAAAAACGGTTGGAAAAGAAAAGTGGAGCAAGTATTTAAAAACGGAGGGAGTACTATATAAGGACATATCAACTATCTCCTTATTGCTTTTTTTGGACTGATTGAAACATTTTATCAGGCTCTGATTCAGAATATAATTAGCTCAGAATTTCAGTTAGAGGATGTGCACATAACCAAGCAACAAAAATGTTCTCCAAAATTGGAAATGCAGTCAATCTTATTCACCAATAATGGATACCCAATGGATAAGATTTTGAAACTTAACCAAAAAAAAAAAAAAAAAAAAAAAAAAAAAACGACTCAACTGAGAGCAGCAAATTTGTCAATCGGATGGAATTAAATCTGGGTCGATCACCGCATCGCAACCGCATTGTTATGAAATTTGAGCTTACCGCGATCGCAATCGCAACCGCATCCGAGATGTAAAACCATGACCCAACCCCAAGATGACACAATAGCTGAATGATTCTAGTTGAAAAAAGGCTCGCTGCTTCCAAAGAGTAAAAACCTTACACCCATGATACAAGAAACAAGGTTGGAGATTGATGTAGGTTGGTAGCTAACTTATATTGAACTGAGCCCAGAATTTCAAGGACTCAAGTGTGAAGAAAGGAATTTCTAATGACACCATACAATGGTGAATACATGGTTACATCTTCAAACTAAGTGTTTCGGAGTCTCCAATATACAGGTCAAATGTCTCAACAACATAACTGTTAATCAAACCTTATGTTCTTCAACATCCAAGACTCCGTTTCAAGTTATTCAACTGCATATGCTGATTCGGCCTTACGTTGCTTTCAAGTTACTCGAATAGCTAAAGGCTAATTCTTTTTTACTTCAGGATTGCCGGTCAAGATTTGTTTAAGACATCAAAAGGGGAAATGATAGAGCTACAAGTAACACGAAGTCCAAGGTATCTTTGACATTTATTCAACGCTCAACAGTCAACAGCTTTTATATAATTATATTATGGTTGTTTTTGTTTGTTTCTAAAATACAGAAAACTAGCAATTTTAACATTGAGTTATATACATACTCTGCATGACATGCAGGTACCTATACAAGTTATATTATACCCCACTTATACTACATTATTTTCAAGAATCCTCAAGCAGAATTGAATTCAGTTTGGAGATTGTTTCCCTTTTTGAAAACTTTCTCCACCCTGTTGTGGTACTAATCAGAGTCCAGAAAGCAAGATGCATGACGTAGCCTAGACAATTTGAACAATACTGCTATCTATATTAGACTTCAACCATTCACATACAAGCAAAACATTGAAGATGAATGAGAAGTTCACAGCACATTATGGTCAAGAAATATAGAATGATATAACCAAAGGCAAGAACATATCAAGAAATTTGTGTTTACCTTTCAAGTTCACCCTCACTAAACACATGATAATATCGGTTATACACCACAGCACCCTTCTTGTCATCTTTCCATGCCAGGCCATTTGCAACAGCGCAAGCAGAAGAACCACTAACTTCAGCACGATGATAAGGTAAGTGCCATGGAACAAAATACTCTTGGTTTTCTTTACATCTATTATCAATATAGGTTGTTGATGTATCATTTTCTTGGCTGTTTATCTTCATTGTTTCGTCCAGCTTTGCACCAAGGAACTCACTGGAGACTTTCAATGACACTTGAGAATTGTTCTCCTCACTTTCAGGGATGCTTTTTAAATTAAATGACCGGGGGCTGTTGACACGAGGACTACCTGGTCCAATCCACTCATCTAGGTACCTACGAGATAAGGGTATCCATTTACTCAACAAACCTGGGTCCTCTTGCTCGACAGCCCAGACTGTTATTAATACTAAACCTCCCTTTTTGACAACTCGAACTAGTTCTTCAATAGCTTTTCGCCTCCTACTTTCAGTACTCAGGTGATGTAAAACAGCAATGGATATTGCTGCATCACCCAAACCACTTCTATATGGCAAATTTACAGCATCAGCGACCAAAGCTTCATGCCCTCTCTCGGCACATATGCTTACTAAAGGAGAGCTTATATCACATCCTACAAAAAAGCATTTAGGATTGAAACCCAAGTACTTTCCATTTCCACATCCAGCATCCAGGACAAGGGATCCTTGTGTCAAGGAATCTAAAAATGATGCAACCTTTGGCCATCTAGCAAATCTGGTTGAACTGAAGTGGGGAGCAATTGCATCATAAACCTGATGAACATAAGTCTTCTCGATTTCAGGGGTGTATTGAACACAGTTGAATGATAAACCCTCCTCATTTGTCACTTCAGATGGTTGATTTTTTGTTTCACCATCCGATGCAGCAGTTGAGAAAACAGAAGGACGGCCAGTCCTAATATTCTTCATTGTATTGTATTTAATGGGATTAAACTTACAAATAGATATGAAAGGAGGTAAGTGCAAAGCCCAACGTATCAGATGAGAAACTCTTAAAGATTCTATGTGACCAAATATCATCACCTGAAACATGATTACAAGTTGATTGGTTTGACTTTATAAGAAAAAGATGAGCAAATTTACAGCAAAATGAGATTTGCTGTAAAATTGTGAAAAATAATCTAACATTAACTAGCAAAAAGGATCTGTAAGAATAAAACCAAACTTTCATAAAGTGAAATAAAATCAAGCAAAACAAGCACACATGTAACACATTTAGTTATATAAATATATACTTCCTCTGTTTTTTTATAGTTGCAAGTTGCCATACACCTTCTTGACACACTATTTGAGGAAGTGATTAGACTAGGTGAATGGACGAATTAAGCTATAGGGCACATTCAACCAATATAGAGTGCATTCACAATATAAGTTGATTTTAGCATAATCAAAATTGATTAGGCAGTTTTGAGTTGACAACCAAACTTCATCTAACTATTCTAATCCACATTGCACCATAGTTAATATATTTGCTTCAAAAAAAAAAAAATAAATAAATAAATCCATCTAGAATCAAAATAAATCACACATACAATTATATTCCGTATGTCAAATTTTCAAGCTTTCTATAACATAGCATAATTAGTCTCGCTAGCCCTACAACATAAGCCTCATCTTACCAGGGAAAAAAGGAGGAGAGAGCGTGCAATCATACCTGCACCAGTTCCCTCATGATACAATATATGAACCTAATTCAGAGAAAATGAAGATTCTTTAGAATTTATATGCGGCTAATCTGACTATTAAAATGGATCACCCTTCACATTCTCACTTGACTGCTATTCCATTATTCTATTCGCCTACAGGCAGACGTGACTAAACGACATAGGAGTACAATTTATCAAAGATGCAGGAGGCAGCATTCACCCAGACAAACATGTTTCCCCCTAAGCTACGCTCCTAGACCCTACCTAAGGAGCTTCAAGAGTTTGTTTAGCTTATGATATCACTTTCAATTAAAAATATCGGAGTATCAAGAGCTCGCGTATGCCTACCCCTCGACAATGTTCGAGTCACCAGAGGTTCCTTAACTGCCCCCAATTTCTTTCCCCTAAAAGGGTATAGAAATAAAGCTTCAATAAGGCCAAACAAATAGACTACACACATAAAACCCTAGTTACAGAAATGTGGCAGCTCAAATCCTAGCAAAGATCAGTACAAAGTTCAAATTTTATACTATAATTTAACAAGAAAACAGTAAATTAAGCTCAACCGAATCACTAAAATAATCAAATCCAAATTTCCAATCAGTCGGTACAACTTTTGAACTAGCAAACAGGAATTCAAAGCTTAAATCAAAAAATGAGATTTGAATACGATACATCAAAGAAAAATGAGATTCAGAAACTCCAATATAGCATGTATTATGAACAATGGTATTCATGTACAAATTTGAGAAAGAGAGTTACCAGTTCAGGGATAGAAGAAGCAGTTGCAGTGTCATGGCAAGCAAAGTTGGTCGAGAAATTGGGGATGTTGTCGCGTTGAACGTTTGATGGGTATAGTCTGGTACGAGGGAAAAGGGTGTTTTTGGTGTTTATTGGTGGGTGGGATATATGGGAGAAAATACAAGTTTCTCGACATACAAACATAGGGTGTTTCTCAAAGGGGTAAATTCGTCATTTTTATTCAATAAATAGGTTAATGTTGTAATTTTATTTAAAATATCTCTCTTATCAAGCAAAACCAAAAGTATTGATTGTAGAACAGAAGAATGTTAATAGAGTTGGTGAAGGTCTCCAATGGAGAAGGACGCAACCTTCCCTTTAGGGGTTAACCATAACGCTTCTTTATCCCTTTTATGTTAGGGTTTTAGTTTAATTCGCCGTCGAAAATATGTTGTAATAGTAGTGGTTCACGAGCTACTACAATGGAGGTGGAGGAAAGCATGAAGAAGATGGAGGAGGAAGAAGAAGATGGAGTGAGAAGAAGAAAATGACAAAAAAAAGTTACAAAAAATTCATACAATTCCCCTTTATTACAAAATATCCTTTTGAGAAACACCCTATGTTTTTCATGTTGAGAAACCAGGACTTTTTCAGGATATGGTATCACTTATTATGGAGTTATGTGTGACGTTGTGTAACTTGTGTTGTGTCTGGCCTTTGAGTTGGGGCGTTGGCGAGAGATGGTCAGATTGCTCACTTGACTTGTGTCATATTGTCGAGTCATGTTATTAGGGTTGGTTAATAAATTCTTGTTTGGTAAATTTCTATTTCATTATTGAGGCTTTTTAGAGGTTTGACTAAATGAAAAAACTAGTTTGAGTGTTTGCCTGTTTGGCAAATAGCTTATTGAAATAACTTCTTAGGCTCAAAAAGCTCATTTTAAAAAGGCTTATAATAAGAAGCTTTTTTAACGGATAAATTGATTTTAATAATTCCAACTTTGAGTCATTCGCTTTTAATAATCTCAAGTTTGAATTATCTATAACTAATACTAAAATAACAACTGTTAATATCATCTTCCTTCTAAACTGTACACATGTCACTATCTAATAATTTTGTTTCCCACCCAAATGCAATGATGACATCCTTTTTTTTAAAAATTTTTTTTAGGTGTTTGTGATTAATCTGATTACACTATCTTTTCAAGAAATAACTTAATTTCCAACAAACTTTTTCATATTTTTTTTGGTTCTCTTTCACGAATCTGATTCGTTCGCACCTAAAACAGGATCAACATGCATAACACATAAGAATCACATAATAATACCTTTGAAGCGTGCATTCCATGTTGTGATTAGCTACAAATAAGGGAGAAATAAAGCTTCAAGCGTTGCTCCTCTACTTAGTCCATGAGATTCGATCGAACGTCCACCAATACTAGATTGGTCGGGTGAGAGAGGCAAACCACCACGATCACCTTTAATGGACAATAGGCCACCACGAACCACCATTCACACCAAACTGGTGCACACACAAGGAGGGATGAATAGGATAGAGAGAAAGAGAGAGGCTAGGCTTCGTGTTTGCTAACTCGGGTTTGTTGGATCATCAACTTTTAATTCAAACCCTAGGCACCTAGTCTATTTATAATCATATTATATCTAGCTAGGAAGGAAACCCAATCCACTTAAAACTACTCCTATGGGCCTTTTTTTCTTATGTTCAATCTACGCCATTTGTGTGACCTTATAGGATCCGTTCTAGTGGGGTTTGGCCTATTTTACCAGCCCAAAGATTAGGGATGGCAATTCAATCCAAGTTCGATTCAAATCCGATCCAATCTAAAGATAAAATTCCGATTTGAATCCGTTTAAAATTAGTCCGAATCCGATAAAATAATCCAAATCCGAGTAGGAGGTGGATCGAACTTGGATCCTACGCAAAGTCCGACCGAGTTCGACCCGAGTCCGAGTCCGAGTCCGAGAGTATAAGCACATGCTTTATAACTTTTGACAAATGCTTGCTTGTTTTGTAGCAAAATTTTGTTATGCAACTTAGTTCATATTTTAAATATGTTATGTTTATACTTTACTCGGTATGACAATACACGCAATTATAGCTATATCACACAATAAATAAATAAATATATATATAGATCATTTCGGAGGTCCGAATAAACGGATCGGATTCGGATCCGAAAATTACGAGTCGGATTCCGATCCGTTGCCATTCCTACCAAAGATCGTTGGTACCTCTAATTATGATATAACGACGACTTAAAGGAATGAAGATAATTATCTCCATAATTTGATCCATTATATATCTAGTAATTGCACTTGACGGAGGCATCTTCTCCTTGTTTGAGACAAGTGTGAAATATTCAAATTCCTTAAATTAATTTGTGTCTGATTTGATAATATGATTGCATCACATGTCGAGATCATATTAGTCTACAAATCATTTCTTGAAATCTGAGTTAGAATTGCAAAATAAATGATTACTATGTAATCTATTTGAGCACGGCCATGCATTTTCTCAATTCTCCCTATTCAAGAGGCCTTGACACATTTCTTATTATATCGGTAGACTTGATCCAATCTTGTTGCAACCAAAGCACCTACTCAACTTTTAAAATAATCAGAAAACACCCTTTATAGTCTCTCTTTTACGGCATGACGTTGTGGTGCCCCACAGCTAAAACAATCATTGACCGACAATAGTTCCACTCATGTTAAATTAAAGGAATCCACTAATATATCCGGGAGTCCATTACTTAAACTTCAAGTAGGTCATAGTTAGATCATGTATCATTCATACATATCCATGTGATTGACTGAACATCTTTATGACCCTGTAGCCTATGAAACTGCACTATCAATCAATCTTACATGCTAATCCATTTTTTGAATTTAGTTTAATGATTTTAAACGAGAAACTTAAATAATTTATGAATTCAGTTTCATTTACCAAATCACTTATTAGATAATCCCATTTAAATTCACAATTAATTTAATTTAGACATTTTATTTAATATCAAACCACAGTTAAATAAGAGAAATGAAAATTTCTATTAAACATGAAACTGTAGGTTAATGTATTACATACAATTGCAATAAGTTTTTCTAAACATATTCAATTTATTACATAACTCGCTTCAACCCTGTAGCCCTGGTGTGACTCTCATGCTTGGGCTGTGGAAGAGGTTTAGTAAGCGGATCAACGATATTCTCATACTTATGAACTTTGCAGATCTTGACATCTCGCTTATCAACGATCTCTCGAATGAGGTGGTACTTTCTCATTACATGTTTGGATTTGTAATGTGACCTTGGTTCCTTTGATTGAGCAATGGCACTATTGTTGTCATAAAATAACTCAATTCCTTCCTAAGCACTAGGTACAATGTCTAGCTCTGTGAGTAACTTCTTGATCCAAACAGCTTCCTTTGCTGCCTCAACCGCAGCCAAATACTCAGATTGTGTTGTAGAGTCGATCTGCAACCGTGCTTTACTTCGAACTCCTCCAGCTTATTGCTCCTCCATTAAGATAAAATATGTACCCGGATTGAGATCGACTATCATCTCTTTCTGTTTGGAAGCTTGCATCCGTATAGCCCTTGACAACTAGTTCATTTTCACAACCATACACTAGGAACATTTCTTTAGTCCTTCTTAAGTACTTAAGGATATTCTTATCTGCCTTCTTGTGTGCTTTGCCTGGATTTGCCTGAAATCTACTACACATGCTTAAGGAATATGAAACATCTGGCCTTGTACATATCATGGCATACATAATAGACCCTATCGCCGAGGCATAAGGTATATTACTCATACGCTGCAACTCTTCTGGCGTTTGAGGGCACTGAGTTTTACTAAGTGTAATACCATTAGAGATGGGAAGAAATCCTCTCTTAGAGTCTTGCATTACGAACCTCTCAAGAATCTTATCAATATAAGTCTCTTGACTTAGTCCAATCATCCTTCGAGATCTATCTCGGTAGATCTTTATTCCCAATATGTACTCGACATCTCCTAAGTCTTTCATAGAAAAACAACTCTTTAACCACTCCTTGATTGACTCAAGCATTGGTATGTCGTTTGCTATGATCCGTATGTCATCTACATACAAGACTAAGAAAACCAGACTACTCCCACTAAACTTCTTGTAAACACAAGGTTCTTCTTCGCTCTTGAGGAAACCAAACTGTTTAACTGCCTTGTCAAAACGAATGTTCCAACTCCGAGATGCTTGCTTCAATCCATAAATAAAATTTTGAAGCTTGCAAACCTTTCCAAGATTTTCTAGATCTTCAAAATCATCAGGCTATGTCATATACAAATCCAACATCAAGAACCCATTCAAGAAGGCAGTTTAGACATCCATTTGCCATATTTCATAATCGAAGTAGGAAGCAATCGTTAGAAGAATCCGAATTGACTTAAGCATTGCTATTGGGGAAAAGGTTTCATCATAGTCGATACCATGAATTTGACTAAACCCTTTTGCAACCAGTCTTGCTTTATAGATGTAGACATTCCCAACTTGATCTATTTTTATCTTTTATACCCACTTGCAACCAATGGTTTTACTTCATTAGGCAAGTCTACTATTCCAAACACCATTTTCAGACATTGAGTCCATTTTAGATTTCATGGCCTTAAGCCATTTTTCAAAGTCAGGGCTTGCCAAAGCTTGCTTGTTGGTTGTAGGTTCCGCGCATTCCAATATGAATATTTCGGAATCTATAGTTAACAAAATATCAACAAACAGTTTGTTTCCGATTCTGGATGACCTACGTGGGGTTGGAGCAACAACAAAAGTATTCTCTTAAACTCTTTGAAGATTTTCGCATGATTTAGATTTAAGTGGGACGATAGGAGTCTCCCTAGTTGAATTAGCTTGCTCCGACGAATGATTTGTCATTTGAGTTGACTTAAGTGCCCTCGCCTCTAATGCGGTGTTATCCACATCCATCTGTTGCTCGTCTCAAATTTCTTCGAGAACAACTTTACTCCCACTTAGCTCTTTAGAAAGAAATTCCTTTTCAAGAAAGACACCATCGCGAGCAACAAACACCTTGTTTTCTTTGCGATTGTAGAAGTAATACCCTTTTGTTTCCTTGGTATAACCTACGAATCTGATTTGGGACTTAGTTTGTCGCCTTGTAAACGCTTTACATAGGCTTCACAACCCCAAATCTTAAGAAAAGATAACTTTGGAACTTT